GAGACCAGCGTGGACCCATCCTTATCCCAGGAGACCAGCGTGGACCCATCCTTATCCCAGGAGACCAGCGTGGACCCATCCTTATCCCAGGAGACCAGCGTGGACCCATCCTTATCCCAGGAGACCAGCGTGGACCCATCCTTATCCCAGGAGATCGTGGACCAGCGTGGACCCATCCTTATCCCAGGAGACAAGCGTGGACCCATCCTTATCCCAGGAGACCAGCGTGGACCAGCGTGGTCCCATCCTTATCCCAGGGACCAGCGTGGTCCCATCCTTATCCCAGGAGACCAGCGTGGACCCATCCCTTATCCCAGGAGACAAGCGACCCATCCTTATGGACCCATCCTTATCCCAGGAGACCAGCGTGGTCCCATCCTTATCCCAGGAGACCAGCGTGGTCCCATCCTTATCCCAGGAGACCAGCGTGGACCCATCCTTATCCCAGGAGACCAGCGTGGACCCATCCTTATCCCAGGAGACCAGCGTGGTCCCATCCTTATCCCAGGAGACATGTGGTAACCAGTGAAGATCTGTAGTAACCCAGAGACCGTAGTAACCCATACATGTCGTAAGAGGCGACACGTGTCATCTTATCCCAACTGCGTAGATCGATACTCATGCTGTTGATCACTGGATTGTCTGGTCCCGACTCGATTATTTACAGACAGCTGGAATGTTGCAGGGTGCGTCGTTAAACAACAAACAAAAACAAATCTTGTTCACATTTATGACGTCGTCACGATATGGCTGAAATATTGCTGATGTGAGGTAAAATATTAACTCACTCACTCCTCACAAGTGGTCCGCGGTACGTGTCCACATGATTTGTCTGCCTTGGCCGTACCAGGGTCCGATATTGCTTGACAATTCCCGTGCTCATTGCTTCAACCTCGTTTCTTTCTTTTTCACCCACTTTCTGTCTTCTCTATAACATTCAGCATATACGCCATGATATAACCGATATATATTCCGAAGTCGACTGACTGAGTTTGGTTTACGCCGCTTTTAGCAATATTCCAGCAACATCACGGCGGGGGACACCAGAAATGGGCTTCACATTGTACCCAGGAGATGCGTGGTCCCCATCCTTATACCAGGAAGACAAGCGGGTCTTCGGCGTCAAACCATCCATATCCGAACAGCCAGCGGATACATATTTGGTTCTTATAATATATAGTGTGATGTCTAGATGTATTCTGACCTATCTCATAAATCAGTTTTCTGCTGAGGTAACTTCTGTACAACCGGGGGCGGTGGGGTGGCCTAGTGGTTAACGCGTTGGCTCGTCACGCCGAAGACCCGGGTTCGAATCCCCACATGGGTACAATGTGTGAAGCCCTTTTCTGGTGTCCCCCGCCGTGATGTTGCTGGAATATTGCTAAAAGCGGCGTAAAACCAAACTCAGTCAATCAGTCTGTACAACCGGCTCACTGTTTACATGAAAAAACGTCTCTTTGCGCCATGAACGCGTTGAAGTTTAACATCCTAATCACATCTTTATAAATCACACCTTACTTAGATAAACAAGTTACGCCTTATGGTACAAGTGGTTCTTTAAAACACACTTGCCTGTATACATGAGATGAACCATCTGCCAGTCGTCTGTCAGCTGGAGTTATTTCGGACCCACATACGGATGCCTCGTGCTGATATGGTGCATGGCCCATCCATGGCGTATGTACAAGAAGCAGATCCATCTCATTCAACCCCCGATGGCCTAGTTGGCAGAGTTCCCGCCTGGGTGATGCTGCAGCTTGGGGGGGGACTAGCTTCATCCTCGTGCGCAGAGTGGTGATACACACTGTTGGTGATATTCCATCAGGCTGTTTCCTTGTGGTTTTGTCAGCTCTGTAAGATATGCCCCCACAAAAAGAAGACAGAGATTGGTGGGAACTTTCCTCGAGGTGTTCAAGCGTTGTTTATCCATCTGGTTCGGCGTGTATTTATGCTGAAGGGGTCGTGGTCGGCACAGGTACGAGGGGCGATTTAAAAAGTATGTAGCCTCACCAAGAAAATGATACAAATGCATTTAGTTTTATTTTTCTACATATTATCTGTCAACATCAGGCAAATTGGTTTTGCTATGTTCCAAACATTATACCCCAATGTGTTGTGATATCACATTACCCACATATGTGAAATTTTGGTTTTGCCCATGATTCCTTCAAAATAAAATGGAATCTTTTCAAACATTCGACATCGAGAAAATGATTAAGCTGACTACGTTTTAACCGACCCCCGTACTACAGATGTGTACCCCAAGGTACGTTTCTGTAAACAGAAATGTATCCTAAACATAATCAAAATACAGAAACGTACCCGGTACACTAAACGGCGGAGTCCATGTTCCGCAACTCAAACCGAAACCAACTGGAGGTAGTTCTTCCTGTTCAGCTGATTGCCAGTGGTATGGTGCATGGCGAAATATTTGCTATTGTGTGTGCTCGTTTCTTATATAACGCAATCAAATGTGTCTAGTAGAATATTATTGATCTGTTTGATTGGCATTTAGAAGTTGGTGACTAATAAGAAAGTAAGATTGTTTATGGATAACAACTTCTTTTTATTATATATGATGCGACGTTTCGGTATGGATTCTTATACCGTTGTCAAGCAAGAGTGAAGTACTACAGCACAGAACAGACTTATATACATCAACAGGGATTACGTAATAACAGCATGTAGGTATGAATACCTAGTACTGTGCTGTAGTACTTATGTTATCAATAAACAATCTTACTTTCTTATTCGAATATTATTGCCGTAATCCAAACTGCGACTGCGTCTCAGGAAATATTAAATTTACAAGGGTCTTACAGTGCCGTAACCCTTTCAAAACACCTTGGAACTAATACAACTACTAAAAACGACCCATTCAACTGTAGTTACAGTACATTAACCTTGCTCCAAGGCTGTACTGAATGCTAAGTCCATGGATGAACAGTAATTCTATCCTTTAACTGACTGACTGACTTTGGTTTTACGCCGCTTTTAGCAATATTCCAGCAACATCACGGCGGGGGACACCAGAAATGGGCTTCACACATTGTGCCCATGTGGGGATTCGAACCCGGGTCTTCGGCGTGACGAGCCAACGCTTTAACCACTAGGCTACCCCACCGCCCTCTATCCTTTAAACAGTCTAGATGAGGGGGCAGTTATTTTATAAATTATCATTTAAACTACTAATTATTACCCTAGAAACTTTTGCAAGTCTAACAGTCCGTATGCCAATATGGGTTAAAACAGACCAAGTAGGTATTTATACACATTTTAAGTACAACGTTTAAAAGAGTTTTTTAAAAAACATATCTATTCATTACTCTATTATTTACAAACTGAAAATGTCATAACACCAAACTGAAAAACAATCAATCAGTCATTCACATTACATAGTTATAATTTATGATACAGATCAATTTCTCTCAAGTAGTTTACAATGGGACGCGGGAAAACAGATCTGTCAGATTTATCACTTTACAATGTGAATCCCTTGCATTTGAAAAGTCCACAGAGTCAAGTTTATTAGGAACCCATACAAGTCACGTGTCATCATGTGGCTATTTCGAATGGCATCAAAAGTCACATGTGTTGAACTGCAGCATTAATTAAGGCTTCAAAAGTGTTGAAATGCATAATTTATTAAGGCATCTTAAGTCATAAGTTTTGAAATGCATAATATATTAAGAGATCCAAAGTCACATGTGTTAAAATGCATCTTTTATTTAGGCATCAAAAGTGTTGAAATACATCATTTATTAATGCATCAAACATGTTGAAATGCATCATTTATTAAGAGATCCAAAGTCATATGTTTTGAAATGCATCATTTGTTAAGGCATCAAAAGTTCTATGTGTTAAAATGCATCTATTATTTAGGCATCAAAGGTGTTGAAATGCATCATTTATTAAGACATCAAAAGTCACATGAGTTGAACTACAGCAATATATTGAGACAAACTAAGTCATATGTGTTGAAATGCATCATATATTGAGACAATCTAAGTCACATGTGTTGAAGTACAGCAATATAACTATTTAAATCGACAAAACATTTTCTACAATCATAAGAATCTGCTAAAAGACGAGTCCGTTGTACGACCCCGAACGTATGTTATGAATAAATGACAGTTGTAACCTTGATCAAACAACGTTTAAGCAAGAGTCAAATAGTCCGTGTGATGCTTTCTGAAGTCTTTTTAGAAATAGCATGCTCGACTGTACTCCAACGTTTTGGTTTGGCTAATCGTGGGTTCGAATCCCATATTCATAACGGTTACTACATAGGCAGTAAAAGTTAGAATGTATGAGAGTAAGTGAAGAAGTATTGTTTTACGCCGAGGTTAAAGCGCTGGCTCGCCACTCTGAAAATTCACGTTCGTCATGTACGATTTCCCACATGGGTACAATGTTTGAAGTCCATTTCCAAGGTCCCCCGTCTTGATATTGCTGGAATATTGTTACAAAGTGGTGTGAATACTTCATCATTCAGATGAATGCCCCATTGTTCAGAAGGGATTAAACTCGCGTTAAACGCACCTCACTCTGTATTTAAAAGGGGCGGGTGTAGTCTGATGGTTGAAGGGTTCGCTCGTCACGCCGAAGACCCGGGTTCGAGTACCAATATGGGTTCAATGCATGAAGCCCATTTCTGGTGTCCCCAATATTGCTGGAATATTGTTACAGCGGCGTAAGAACATACTCACTCACTCAACTAACACTGACTTTTGTGAAATTCAAAGTTGTTTTCATTTGTGTCAAAACAGTGATATTTACGAGTTCTCTTTCTTAATAAAACATTAGCGTGGTCTAGACCTTGTGGAAAAACACTAACTATTTCCACAGTTGTAGTACGAGTGAACGCAGCACACTTGGCAGGAGGATGAACCCACCACTGGGGAGGCACGCGGTGATGCCGAGGATCTACAGCATCCCCGCACGTGGGGCAGGATGATGAAACACTCAAATCGATGTTGTTAAATTTACCCATGGTTCGGCCTCATGGCTAGTTCGTGGAACGAAGAGCACAGTGGGTGAACCAACAACACGACTGCGAGGCGGTACGTTTTTTGCCGTTACTATGTTGTATTGTTAGTATGGATGTTGTATTGTTAGTGGCTGTTTATATGTGTTGTTTTTTTCATTTGTTCTGTTGATGTTTTTAATAGTTCTAAACTGTCATATTTTCCTTTTGCGACTTAAAACTTCTTCAGTTGTCTTTTGTAGTTCAAAATTATTGTGTTGTTCCTTGAAAGAGTTTAATTTCTTCAGTTATCTTTTGTAGTTAACGGTGCGGTGGGTTAGCCTAGTGGTTAAGGCGTTCGCTCGTCACGCCGAAGGCCCGGGTTCGATTCCCACATGGGTACAATTTGTGATGCCTATTTTTAGTGTCCCCCGCCGTGATATTGCTGGAATATTGCTAAAAACGGCGTAAAACCATACTCAGTCAGTTGTAGTTAACGATTCTCATGCTGTTCCTCCAAAGCTTTTAATGTCTTCTGATGGTCAGTTGTAGTTCTAAATTTTCTTGCTGTTCTTTTGAGGCTTTAATTTCTATTTTTCTTCCCCACGTTGTTTTGTTTGCTGTTTAAGATATTGATACCTGTTGTTGTTACGCAATTCATGTCCTCACTTTTTATGTTGTTTTCCTGTTTGTGTTGTTCCCGTGTTATCTGAATTTCGTTATTCTGTTTTCGTATATTTTAACCCGTTTGTTTTTTATGCCAGTTTCGTTATTCATCTGCTATTCCTATTTTGTTCTTATGCGTAGTTATTTCCAGTTTATTTATCTAAACATTCCGTACATATATGTATATGTATGACATTTACTGATTTCGATTTCCATATATTTATTAGTGGCAATTTTTTTTCTTAATAACAAATGTTTAGTAAGCAAAATGATTATATATTGAATAGTTGCTTAACAGAATAGATTACGTACGAAGACAATATGTTGACCAAAGACTGTGATAATAAAGAGAGTGGGCGCATGAGTGAGTGAGTGAGTGAATTTAATTTTAGCAATATTATCTCAATAACACGGTAGGGGACACAGAGATGGACTTCATACTCTGTTACCAAACACGAAACACAACCCGTCCGATCCAGTATTTACAAAGCGATTCAAGGTTTAATGATAATTAATGCTTAATACGCCTGAAATCCGTAAAAACTGCGCTAAAATTTCAAAGGCTACACCTACTACTGATCAAATGTTTATGAACTACGAATCACTGGTTCGATATGCGATATGTTTTGTTCCCCCATATCAGGAGATTGTAGAACTATTTAGGTTAGTGCGCGTCTTTCAAGCTGCTTTGGTATAAACAACGAGGATGTTGTTATGTAGGATCGGATATGTTTTTCAGAGAGTGCTCGCCAGTGCTTAGTAAGAGGAAGCATGTTAACAGCGTGTGAGATTCGCGTCATGTTAGATAGCATCTACTGAGACTATTAAATGGTGATTCAGGTTTTCAAGCTACAGACCAAACAAAACGTTTCTCAAGGTATAACGTTAACGCTTGTTTAACGCTCACAGCATATACAGTATACTACCGTTATATCAGTGAGTGAGTGAGTGAGTGAGTTTAGTTTTACGCCGCACTCAGCAATATCCCAGCTATATGGCAGCGGTCTGTAAATAATCGAGTCTGGACCAGACAATCCAGTGATCAACAGCATGAGCATCGATCTGCGCAATTGGGAACCGATGACATGTGTCAACCAAGTCAGCGGAACTGACCACCCGATCCCGTTAGTCGCCTCTTACGACAAGCATAGTCGCCTTTTATGGCAAGCATGGGTTGCTGAAGACCTATTCTACCCCGAATCTTCACGGGTCCTACCGTTATATCAAAAACATGTTTGTTATAACAGTAGTTCGTTAAACGTATTTGGACTAAAATATACAGCAAGTGGTTTGGACAAAACCAGTTCGTTATACCCACCACTTCGCTATGATAAGCGTAGTTTACTGGATGGACAGCGAACCCCCGTCATATCAGACCGGAAGTTACCGGATAAACAAATTTCCGGACTGACGAAACATGGATACGGGGCAATGTTCATTTGATTATACTTCCACTGTAGATGAAGTCCCCGTTTGTAAGTGTCCGGAATGCGTGGTGTCCGCATTATCGAAGGACAAGGCTAACCTATTTTCTTGAACGTAAAGTACGTTTATAACGAACTGACGGATATAACGAAGTCAATTTTCTGCCATAGCAACTTTATGTACACCTTATTCGAAATGCGTACAACGAACATTATGGATTTAGATTGGCATCAGGATAAACTGGTTTCGTTTATTTCGTTCAAAACTACTTGTATGCATTACCAGATTGACTGCATTTTCACCTTGTCTACATTACGTTGCGATAAGTGTATTTTAATTAAATCTATTGTGAATAATTCATGTTTATAAAAAAGCGAACAAAACAGCTTTAATGGCAGTGTTGTTGGTGCAGACTAACGCTCAGTCTCCGAAAATACATATTTTCTATAGAAACAAATGACTCCATTTAAACTGAAAGAAGCCCGATCAGAGATTTTTCCCTGGGGAACAGTTGGGGCTTTTGAGTTGCATAAAGGTTGTGTAGACGGCAAAATGTTACTTGGTTGAGGGGCTGTAAGGCAGACTACCGATCTTCATATCTGTAAATCTAACAAGCACTGTTTACATTCTGGGTAACCAGCACCATTTGACGGAGAGGTCACGTGGGTTTGGCTGATCAGCGGCACCGGATGTAAACAAATCTGACTGCGCCACCTGCCGGGAATGTCTGCACTGACGTATATACGCGTTCCTTGGAGTGCCATTCAAACATGTGGTTAATGTACTACTGACACAACAAGAATCTGACTGATGTACACTATTCTAGCCTTAGCTTCCTCTAAGTCTGGAGGCATTTGTTAAAACGTAGTTTATCTAAACATATGCTATAACAGTTCGAGTAGTCACATAGATACTACAACACTTACGATTTGAATTAACACACGAATAATCCCAATAGGTCATGTTTTTTTCTAATCTAAACATTCGTTTTTTTCATTTCTGATATAAAAGAGATAAAAAAGATAACTTTGACTCTTTCCTGTTTTTCGGATGCAAAACCGCTTAACGTCTCTTAAAAAATGAATTTTACTGTGAACCCTCGTTAGTCCGAAATCCCATCGAAACGGTCCATTACCATTTATGTAATATTTACGGACCAAAATTACTTATCCATGCCTTAATCCAGTAAATATATCCCCCAAAGATTCCACCAGCACATTAATCGGCACCCCGCGGATTAGGGGAGTCAGAGACCATGTACCGTCGGTATAAGGTCTCTGGGGGAGTTCACTCTATTCATGTGGATGTAACGAATCCTTTATATTTATTTTGTTCAACACGTGTGTGCCCTCAGGTGTTGGTCTATTTAACACGTATGTGCCCTCAGGTTTCTTTTGTTCAACACGTGTGTACCTTCAGGTGTTGGTCTATTTAACACGTGTGTTCCCCCAGGTTTCTTTTGTTCAACACAAGTATACCTACAGGTGTTGGTCTATTTAACACGTATGTGTCCTCAGGTGTTGGTCTATTTAACACGTGTGTGCCCTCAGGTGTTAGTCTATTTAACACGTGTGTTCCCCCAGGTTTCTTTTGTTCAACACAAGTATACCTACAGGTGTTGGTCTATTTAACACGTGTGTGCCCTCAGGTGTTAGTCTATTTAACACGTGTGTTCCCCCAGGTTTCTTTTGTTCAACACAAGTATACCTACAGGTGTTGGTCTATTTAACACGTGTGTACCTTCAGGTGTTGGTCTATTTAACACGTGTGTTCCCCCAGGTTTCTTTTGTTCAACACGTGTGTACCTTCAGGTGTTGGTCTATTTAACACGTGTGTTCCCCCAGGTTTCTTTTGTTCAACACAAGTATACCTACAGGTGTTGGTCTATTTAACACGTATGTGTCCTCAGGTGTTGGTCTATTTAACACGTGTGTGCCCTCAGGTGTTAGTCTATTTAACACGTGTGTTCCCCCAGGTTTCTTTTGTTCAACACAAGTATACCTACAGGTGTTGGTCTATTTAACACGTGTGTGCCCTCAGGTGTTAGTCTATTTAACACGTGTGTTCCCCCAGGTTTCTTTTGTTCAACACAAGTATACCTACAGGTGTTGGTCTATTTAACACGTGTGTACCTTCAGGTGTTGGTCTATTTAACACGTGTGTTCCCCCAGGTTTCTTTTGTTCAACACGTGTGTACCTTCAGGTGTTGGTCTATTTAACACGTGTGTTCCCCCAGGTTTCTTTTGTTCAACACAAGTATACCTACAGGTGTTGGTCTATTTAACACGTGTGTACCTTCAGGTGTTGGTCTATTTAACACGTGTGTTCCCCCAGGTTTCTTTTGTTCAACACGTGTGTACCTTCAGGTGTTGGTCTATTTAACACGTGTGTTCCCCCAGGTTTCTTTTGTTCAACACAAGTATACCTACAGGTGTTGGTCTATTTAACACGTATGTGTCCTCAGGTGTTGGTCTATTTAACACGTGTGTGCCCTCAGGTGTTAGTCTATTTAACACGTGTGTTCCCCCAGGTTTCTTTTGTTCAACACAAGTATACCTACAGGTGTTGGTCTATTTAACACGTGTGTGCCCTCAGGTGTTAGTCTATTTAACACGTGTGTTCCCCCAGGTTTCTTTTGTTCAACACAAGTATACCTACAGGTGTTGGTCTATTTAACACGTGTGTACCTTCAGGTGTTGGTCTATTTAACACGTGTGTTCCCCCAGGTTTCTTTTGTTCAACACGTGTGTACCTTCAGGTGTTGGTCTATTTAACACGTGTGTTCCCCCAGGTTTCTTTTGTTCAACACAAGTATACCTACAGGTGTTGGTCTATTTAACACGTATGTGTCCTCAGGTGTTGGTCTATTTAACACGTGTGTGCCCTCAGGTGTTGGTCTATTTAACACGTGTGTTCCCCCAGGTTTCTTTTGTTCAACACAAGTATACCTACAGGTGTTGGTCTATTTAACACGTGTGTTCCCCCAGGTTTCTTTTGTTCAACACACAAGTATACCTACAGGTGTTGGTTTATTTAACACGTGTGTACCTTCAGGTGTTGGTCTATTTAACACGTGTGTTCCCCCAGGTTTCTTTTGTTCAACACAAGTATACCTACAGGTGTTGGTCTATTTAACACGTATGTGTCCTCAGGTGTTGGTCTATTTAACACGTGTGTGCCCTCAGGTGTTGGTCTATTTAACACGTGTGTTCCCCCAGGTTTCTTTTGTTCAACACAAGTATACCTACAGGTGTTGGTCTATTTAACACGTGTGTTCCCCCAGGTTTCTTTTGTTCAACACAAGTATACCTACAGGTGTTGGTTTATTTAACACGTGTGTACCTTCAGGTGTTGGTCTATTTAACACGTGTGTTCCCCCAGGTTTCTTTTGTTCAACACAAGTATACCTACAGGTGTTGGTCTATTTAACACGTATGTGTCCTCAGGTGTTGGTCTATTTAACACGTGTGTGCCCTCAGGTGTTGGTCTATTTAACACGTGTGTGCCCTCAGGTGTTGGTCTATTTAACACGTGTGTTCCCCCAGGTTTCTTTTGTTCAACACAAGTATACCTACAGGTGTTGGTCTATTTAACACGTGTGTTCCCCCAGGTTTCTTTTGTTCAACACAAGTATACCTACAGGTGTTGGTTTATTTAACACGTGTGTACCTTCAGGTGTTGGTCTATTTAACACGTGTGTTCCCCCAGGTTTCTTTTGTTCAACACAAGTATACCTACAGGTGTTGGTCTATTTAAGACGTGTGTGCCCTCAGGTGTTAGTCTATTTAACACGTGTGTTCCCCCAGGTGTTATTCTAAAAGAAACCACCAAAAAACAAAACAAACATTGCAGTCAACAACCACCGTGCAAATAGCAACAGTTTATTTTCCAGAACGTGCTGTCTCACCTAGTGGCAACGAAACGATCATTGACTCACATTGAAAACGAGTTGTACGATCTTAGTCGGCAGAAAGGCATGCTGGGAATTTTTCTTTGTCGCATATATCTAATCGACCAAGGTTAAACCTATCAAAAACGTCAAGGAAACTCTGGTTTTTGTTAACGACCCTTCTACCTGATATCTCACACACGTGATAGTAGGACCAAGGTCAAGGTCATCGACTGAAGTAAACATTCACTCGTCAGCGTGCCATCACTCTAAGCATGCGTGAATTAATGCGCTTTGACATTCTCAGTTCATGAGGCTATAGACTTGTTTGTGTCTCAAAGGCAATAATTATTTGTCTAAATTATTTTAAGATTATATAAATATTAAGGACAAGTTGTCCGAATAAAAGAATGGCGCCCTTCCGCTTATCTAGACTTGCCTATGATAAGGATAATATCACTAAAACTCCCTGGATTTATCGGTCAGTACAGCCTTGATCAAGGCTTAACTAGTCGACAAAAGGGTCTTTTTCCGCAGTGTGTAGAGCTGGAGATAGTGAGCTCGTTTAGAACACTATTTCAGTCATATCACGTTGTGTCTGTCTGATGTTGGTGTAAGGCAAGGGTTAACTTGCTTCACCAAGGTTACAAGTCCCATTTGTGAACAGATAGAAATTATGAACCGAGAGTATTCTGTTTTGCACAGTGTGAGAGATAACACCGTCTTTTCCAGAAGAATCTTCCGGATA